AAGGGCGCTGCGGTAGCAGCCCCCGCGGCCCCCTTGGGCGGAACGCGAGGAGGGCGGCCCCGGGCAGCGCCCAGCGGGCTCTCCCGTTGCTTTAACGCTCCGGTCCGGGCGAGAAAACTCAAATGAGGGAGTTGGCCGGAAAGGAAATGCGAAACGAAGTGGAAGTGGAGTAGGATGAGACGTGGGGCTGCTTTAGTCTAAACTGTCTCTATCTTAATCAGCTCTGCCAGTGTCATAAACGGTGCCAAAAGAAAAAAGGAATTGGATGCTGACGGTTGCTTTCCTCTGTTGTAAACAGCTTCTGCGTTTTCTGCAAGAGTTCTCACAGCAAACCATTTCCCGGACTCATGAAATCAAAAAGCAAGTAGATGGATTGATTAGTGAAACAAAAGCCACAGACTGTCGTCTTCATAATGTCTTCAATGACTTTCTTATGTTGTCCAATACGCAGTTCATAGAGAATGTGAGTATGTTCTTGCAGGACAGCAAGGTTGTCCTTCATACACTGGTGTTGTCCCTTATGGTAATGCAGAGAAACAATCTGACTCTTTGACAAGTCTGATGTTAATTAAGAGATGAAGTGGCTTTTAATTGCTTTCTGTTAAAGGGTGTGCTAATTCCTTTGTGAGTGATGCACTATCCAGTACTGGCAGATTGCCTTTTGCATCCTCTGAGGTACCTTCCTTCCTTGTTTATAGGTGATGTGGGGATCAGAATTTTGTTTTCAGAACTATGAGTGAGTTGGGATCTGTGGGTTGTCTTGTTATACCTTTACAGGTAACATGAGTGTAGCATTTGGCTGTGCTTGGCTGTCTAAAGATCAGGAATGTTATACGATCATGTAAATTTGCCCAGTGTTATTATTTTACTCTAAAAGCAATTGCCATTAAAAATATTGGACTGTAGGCAGCTGTCTGTTATGTTTGCTCATGATGAGCCTATTGGTTAATATTCCCACTTTATGAGTACTGCTGTTTTAGAAAGGTAAAAGCTAGACTTGAAAGCCTTTTACAACATTGTATCACTAGGAGCATGTGTATAATTAAGATGTAGAGTTTCAATAGTCTTGAGGGGTTTTTATCACTATGAGTTTTAGTTAGTGTTTTGCTTTGATCAGCATTGCTCTTGGGCCACGCGTGCCTCATCTGAAGCCATGATGCTGCTATTAGAAAGATGCTGGCAGAAGACAAGCCAAAGGAAATCTGTATTTCTGTTGTGAGTTTTTTTAGGTGGTGCTGGGTTTTTTTTTTCAGAGCTGCAATGTCTTTTCTGGCCCACCTTTGCTGTTCAGCATGCTGATTCTGCTGAGAACAGTTTGTACTAAAAGTATTGGGTACTTGAAGCTGTTTGTTCCCAAATTTAAGTGCACAGATGTAGGTTCTTATTTCTAGCTCTCAATCTAGTTAATGTGAGAGATCTCTCTCCTCCCAGGGGATAGCTACAGCTGTGTTTGAGAGATTTGAATTTAGGTTTGCAGGTTCAAGGGAGACTTCTTATTCCCCTGTGTCTCCTTGTAGCTGATCCCATAAACGAGTGCTAACAGAGCTAGATGGGAGGGATTGTCAGAACAAACTGAAGGCTGAGGGAATGTGAACCTTCTCTGTAAGTACAGAAGGGTAAATGCTAAAGAAGGAAAACTTCTAAATGACAGAAAACAAAAGGAAAACAGCCCATAAGTAAACATAGGTTCAACTTTGAAAGTTTTTGGAATAGCTTTATGTTAGGGGGGGTTTAAAACAGTCCTTTTTAAAACATGTTCAGGTCAATTTGTGAAGAGGGTTTAAGGGTTTAACTCCTGCAGTGACTGCAGTCCTGAATTACCTCAGCTGGGTTGAGAGGCCGCCTGACAGTAACTTCAGGATGATGACTTCAATGCATGAAGAAGGGCATGAAGATGCTTGGTATCATCCATGGCTTCTTTTTTTTAAATGTGTAATGAATTAATGTGTAATTAGCCATACATTAACAGTGTATTTTATTTTGTTGGTCGTGCCCGTGGTTTAGCCCCAGCATCAGTATGTTCTTACTTTAATTAAATTTACTTGACATTTTAGAGGGTATATGATGAAGAAGTTGAAGAGCCTATTCCCAAAGCTGATGTTGGAGACAAAACAGAGCAGGTGAGTAAACTGAAGCTCCCTTGACTGTTGGCAGTATGTTTGCAGCTATTGTCTACCTTCTTGTTTTCAAGGTTATTTTGCTGATATTTACAGTTTTGTTTGCAGCTGTTCTCTACCTTCTCATTTTCAAATTTACCGTGCTGATATTTACAGCTTATCTCTCTGTTGGATAGTGTATGCCATTCAAACATAAATTTGTCAGTAACACTGGAGGCTAGTACTATGTGTGGTAATCTGCTAGGACCTCCCCAAGCTCAGTACTGTGTCCACTAGACAAGACTTGTGTGCTGATTTTTCAAATGGCTGTGTGTGTTCTTTCTGCAAGAGAACTGAGGCCTTAGGCCTTCATACTGGATGCAGAGGGAGTGAACTGGGGAAGCAGAATCTGACTGCAATCCCCAGGGATAAAATATCAGAAAGCTTTTTATGTATCTTACGGTCTAAATGTGTTATACCTTAAATGTTCCCTTGATGGGCTGGGAGCACAGATAAGATAGCACTGTGCTGGCGTGGATGTTTAGAACATCTCTGTTTCTGGGAGTGATAAAGATGAATTAAGTCAAGCTAAAAGTGGTTCTGAAGGTCTTTCTTTTACATATAGTGGAAAAGGTTTCATTGGGCTAATTTGAAGTTAAACTTTTCCATGCATGTTGCAGTGAGATTGAGCGTTGAGTAAAAAATGCAACAGGAGTGTGTTGTTCCTGTTATTAAAGGAAAAGACACGGGAGCAGAAAGAAGCTGATCTGATCCCTAAAATCCAAGAAGCAGTGAATTATGGGTTGCAAGTTCTGGACAGCGCGTTTGAGCAGCTAGACATCAAAGCAGGCAACTCTGACTCGGAGGAGGAGGAAAGCAACGAAAGGGTAGAACTGATACTTGAGCCAAAGGTACAGAGACCTCTTCTTGCTGGGACCATGGGTTTGTGTTTGGCTTTGCTGGACTTGCTCTTTGCTTCTGTCAGCAGTATCTCTGCGTTGGTATAAGGTTGATGTTCATTACTTAAAAGGAGAATTTGATGACTACATCTGAAAAAGTGCTCCTCGCTGAGCTACTCCTTGTGTAGCCTGCTTGTCTAGCAGTTGGGTTAGCATTAAGGTGTGGCACACTGAAGAGAGCTAGTTTAATGGCAGTGAACTTAGAAAGGGGAGCCTCGATTCTGGGTGGAGTGGGATCTTTAAATTTCATGCTTTTTAGGTACAAACTGTATTTATAGGGGATTTTTACTCTTTGAATAATTAAGTACCCTAGATGTGGGATTTGGGCTAAGACTGATGCCTGCAAGTCTTTATAAGGATATTCTTCTGGTAGATGACACCTAGAAAACAAGTTGGGACCACTTGAATAGAAATAGCTCCTTTCTTTGACAGCATTAAAAGTAATAAACCTCAGATGCCTGGCATAGTTCCATGCTGACTTGAAGTATGTGTCTGGTGGAACTCTCAACAAGCTTGTATCTTCCTTGAGTTAAAACAAGGGGTATAAGATTTCTGTCTTCAACAGCAGTGTAGAACTGTTGGTAGATGCCAGAAAGACCTGATGTTATCTCTTTCCAGGATCTCTACATTGATAGGCCTTTACCTTACTTGATTGGCTCTCAGCAGTTTATGGAACAAGATGATGTTGGCCTTGGAGATCTCTCTAGTGAAGGTGTGTGCTGGTATAGACTTTTATTCATATGTGGGTAACTAGTTTCTAATCTGAGACTTTGGTCTCTTTTAACTCACAGCCTGGATTATGTTGCTTAGTGGTTTTGTATGTTTAGATGTACATTGTAATTATCTAGGGAAAAAAAATGTGCATCACACTGTAACAACCACTTTTCTGGTACACAAAGCAGTAGCTGTTCAGTAACTCGTGCTCTGTGTGTTGGAAATGCAAAGTGCTAAAATTTCAGCAGTCTTCGAAGCTCTTCCAAACCACTCTTTTCTACTTAATTTTTAGTTCTCCTAACAAAGTTGCTGTTGATATGTCTGGTGACCACATTGCTCTGCATACAGATGTTATATCTGACCTTAACTTGTCTGCTTTCATTTACAATAGAAGGATCAATAGATAGCGATCGTGGAAGTGTAATTGACAGCGAGGAAAAGGATCAAGAGGTATGTGACAGAGCACCAGCTACTTTGCACAAGCATTTGTGAGTTCTTTGTTGTGTGTGAGGCCATTAGCTACCTTATTTTTTTATGGGGGGGGTGTCTCAAAATAATGTTGCACAAGATCTGTTCCCCATGTTGGTTGTGGTAAATGTGATTTTGTTATTCTGCAGCTTCTCAGAGGAGCAATAAAGCAGTATTGGCTCTAAATGTTGTTACAGTAGAATACTTCAAACTGAAGTGTTTTATCCCAGTCTAATTTCTCTTAGTGAAGCAAATCGGCTTCTTATCAAGAATTGTCTTTATGGAGAACAAACCTGTTGTAAATTACAGGTACAAAAAATGGGATGGAGACTAGCAGGAGCAAGTTTAAAGCTTAAGTAGGTGTCAGTAACGCACCTCCAGGCTTTGCCTAATGAATCTGCTCTGCATGGGACTATCAATTTCGGATATGTTTTGCCTGCCTTGGCTGGAATGTCTCTGCTTTGTAATTGTGCTGTGAAAGCACTACCTTTTTCCCGGGTTTGGTTTTGATGTCTTTGCTCAGCAAAAGTTAAATCCCTTTTGAGTTACTCAAATACGCTGTCGGATGGAGCTTGCTGTCTTTGCCTGACTTTCTAGTGAGCTCCATTCATAAAGTTGGTGAGCAGTGAGGAAACAAAACCTTCACCACGTCACAGTGAGGAGATCTGAGTGTCCAAACCTAAGCAAGTCCAGAGCTTCTGAGTCCTCTCCTGTAAACACTGGACAAAGTAGTGTGTGATACTTATCTTTGGGTCTTTTGTTCCAGGAATCAGATGATGAATTTGGAAACCCTAGTGAAGATGACCAAAAGACGGTATGGTTTTACAATCTGGTGCATACCTGAAAGCCTTTCCACTTGTGACACAGTGAGAGTGCAAGAAAGAGGAGATAAGAGCTCTAGACAATTAACTGTTAACAACTTTGGTTAAGCCTGATATGTATAACTTTCTATTGGAGGGTTGTCCTGGTCAGATCCACTGTGTTGGGAAATAGAACCTGGGTTGGGCTTAAAGACGTGCTTGCAAGCCATCATTAGATGGGAAGTGACTGTGGGATGGTATTGCCCGATGAGCGTTTCCCTCAGGAATTACTTTGGAGCAATGAGAGCCCAAAGAATCTACTCTAGGGAAACTACACTCCTGTGGGATTATTTAGTCTATAATTAAAATGCTAAACTTACTGTGCAGGAACGGTGTGGTTTGGGTATGACATGAAATCAAAAGGTGTGAGCAGTATTAAATATTTGAAAAGTATGTCCATTTGGATAACAAATGAAAAGGGAAAATAAAAGTTCAGATTGAAAACTTCAAGTATGACTTTAGTTGGTGGCAGTAGAAGGAATCTTACCTGTGTTTAGATGTGCCACTGCACGTTCTATTCCCCTCATCTTTTTCATCCTCTTTTTCTTGTTGAACCCAAGATGTGAGCATGTATTGTGTGTCATTCTGCTATCCAGCTTAAGAATAACTCAAGATGATAAAATTTTTTACTAGCTGATTGCAATGTTCCTGAGTTAAGGCTAAATGCTATATTTTAGTGGAGAGGAGTTTGTAAACTAAGGGAAGCAGAACAGCCAAAGCCATTCAGGCTTGTGTGTAGTAGCAGTATGCTCCTTGAAGAGGAAGGCCTTGGTGTGCTTGGTTGTGTCTCTGGTCCAGAAATGTTTGGTTATGTGGCACAGTGGCGTACTAGAGAATGTAGCAACTTGCTTGGAGCTAGAGGCACTCCTTCCTTGCCTCACAAGAGCTGTGAAGTTCCCCAGACTGACTCAGGTAGTTTGCTTTGAATATTTAAAGTAGATGTCTGTTTGCGCTCATTTTGTATGCCAACTTCAGAAGAACATAACAGGGTATTCATTGTTTTTTAGAGAACACAAATGAGTGATGAAGATGATTCTGATGGCTGTGATCTCTTTGACTCTGAAAAAGAGGAAGATGAAGATGGAGACTTAGATGAAAGCACAAGGCCTGTAAGTAATTGTTGCCTCCCCAGTCGGAGAGATTTGACTTCCCTCATGAAAAATCTGTCCTTACAGGGATTATATTGGTAGCCCTCAGTTAGATTAGATGGGATTCTTTAGAGGGGGCCTGTAAAAATCATGAATGGTCTTTCAGCATGCTTGTTCAGGCTTTACCCCTTTAAACTAGGTACTTCTAGCACTCTAAACTGACATCAAAACTGTCTTTAAAGGTAATTAAGAACTTGTTGCATTTATGTTGTAAATGCTTCTTGCTTGTCCTGCTCTGAAAATGAGGTGCTATTAATTATGTGATCGTAAGGAACTAGAAATGTCCTTTTTTTTTTTTTCTCTCAATACATGCCTGATCTCTTAATTGCTTTCTCAATAGAAATCTGCATTGCCTCTTCTGAGGGCTTCAGTCAAAATCTAGACAAGATATTGTGCAAGTGAAGCTGTAGAATACAGTATTTGCAATTGCATCAAGTTGGCAGACAGATTGTATTTAAAGAATATGCTGTTATTTGTCCCTACTCCTCAGAAAAAGAAGAGGCCAACATCATTTGCAGATGAGCTGGCAGCTCGAATCAAAGGAGAAGTTCTAGTCAAACAGGAAGAAGAGCATTCATGTAAGTTTCCTCTTTAGTTTTCATAAATATTTCTGAAATAGAGGGAGGCTCATGAGAGAGTTGAGCAGGAAATTCTGTGTAACCATATGTGAAGCTACACAGATCTGTTATTTTAATACGTATTCACCTGAAAGACCAACAAGAGGAATTAAAGACACTGTTTCATGTTCTGAGAAATCTTTGGCCACATCTTGTAGGACAGAATGGGAATTTAATGAGTGTTATAGTGGAAAACACATTGCTTTCAGGTGAGACAGTCACTCCTCAGGCATACCTATTATTGGCAAGGTTTTCTCTCCCATCTGATCCTCCCTCTTCATGCAAAACCCTGTCTGACCCCATGTACTTCTCCCGTTTCAAGCAAGTATGTGGAAGGCACTGGTTACTGTAGTCTTTCTGTGAGCTCTACAGTGGAAAACACCTCAAGCAGTAAACTGTTGCTTTCATGTGATGTGAATTGTTTGGGTTTTTTTCCTCTTTGTGGCTTAAATATACAGTGTTTAGAGGAACTTTTCGTTGTTACTGTTTTCTGTGATGTTTTAGACCAAATACTGCCATTTCCTTTTGTGTCACTTTCAAAAGGAGAGACCTCCCTCAAGTAGTTATTTTTGTAGCAAAGCAGCAGTTCAAAAGAGCTGACTGAAACTGAGTTGACAATGCTTGTGAGCCTGCTTTTGTCCTGTAACAGACAAGAACAGTGTGTCTGTGTGCTCTTGCATGGTTCAAACACGCTAGGTCCGTGGATATCAGAGTATAAAACGTACCAGCTTACCTTCTTCAGTCTACAGGGAAATCTGTTTAGTGAAATAACCTTGTGATGGTAGGGCCAGAGGAAATGAATCTGGCTTTGGTTTTGATAGCTGAAATCTGTCTGTGTACTCTTGCATGGTTCAAACACCCTAGGTCCATGGAGTATAAAACGTACCAGCTTACCTTCTTCAGTTTACAGGGAAATCTGTTTAGTGAAATAACCTTGTGATGGTAGGGCCAGAGGAAATGAATCTGGCTTTGGTTTTGATAGCTGAAATCAAGGTGTAATGCATCTGGAGCCCTTTGAGAGGGGGTCAAAGGTTCTGCATGCTCTGTGTGGGATCTGTCTCAGACAACACTAGTCTGTGCGTGGGCAACTGTGTTGAACCCATAGTACCTGACAGAATGATACTATTTCAATTTTAAGTACTAATTTTATAATTTGTACTCTGTCGAATTGCTTCAATAGTCTGATTCACATGAAAACATATAGGTCAGCTTTGTTAGATTATTTTTTTGGGTCCTTTATACCATGGATTGATAGCAGGCTACCAGTAAAAGTGGACTGTTTAATTTTGCTTTTGAAATTTTCTTCTTAAAGCCCTGTCATCAGAGGCAAAACCAAGGAAATCCCTGAAAGAGAAGAAGGAAGTTAGAGTTCCATCAGATGGTAGGATATCTTCCTCTCTTGTTTTGTCATCTGGGGGCTGGATCATAAGGCACTGCTTAGGAAATTGTGGCACCTACTCTATAAGCTGGGTGGAATACCAGTGAGCATCCTTCAAGGTGAGTCTGTAAACAAATCTATTTTGTGATGTACATGTAAAACAAGGCTAGAAACAGGCTTAGTGAGAGTTCCTCCTTAAATGTGGTTTTGTGAAGCAACCACATGCAACCCAATATGTCTACAGGAGCTTCTCTGTGTATGTCATATTTATGAGAGAAAGAGGAGGGAGTCAAACCAGTGTTTATTTTGGTTGTCTCTTTATTTCCCTTTCCTGAAACTTGGTCAGTCCCACTGCAGTCATTTGCTCTTGTGCTTTCTAGATGAAGATGATGACATCTTCAAGCCTCCAAAGCTGACTGATGAAGATTTCACACCGTTTGGTTCTAGGGGTGGCCTCTTCAGTGGTGGAACAGGTCTCTTTGATGATGAAGAGGTGAGAATGCTGGAGAGGCTAGAAATGGAAGGCGTGGAGGAGGAGCAGCATTTTGTCTCTTGGTACTGTTCAGGAGTAGTGGGGCAGTGCAGCTTCCCCGTGGAGAAACAGAACTACACGAGTGAGGTGCAGTGCCCCTTGGCACAAAGCTCTCCTCTATGGTGGTGCTGATGAGAGATACAAGTGTGGTTCTAGCATTATATTTGACAGGTTCTAATTCCAGCCAGGCTTACTCAGCACCTCACTTTTACCTGTAGAGGTAAATCAAATGCCATACAGTTTGTTTACTTTAAAAAACCAGATTTCTATTTTCATTTTGGTTGGAAGAGACCTTTAAGGTGATCAAGTCCAACCGTTAACCCAGCATTGCCAAGTCCACGACTAAAGTTTGTCAGTCTCTCTCCCTGGGAGTGGGAGAAGTTTGAGAGGAAAGAGAACATGATGGCCTTCTTGCTTTATTTTTCACATACCTTATCTGGAGAGGGATGCTGTTTGCTTTCTCTGTCTTTGCTGTTACAAGTTCCGTATTGCAATTATGCTAATCTACTTATTGTACAATTCCTGGGTTAACTGCTGGCAAGAGAAGTTCACCTTAAGCTTACTCTTGTGCTGTGTATCTAGAGCTGACTTAATGAAGGAATGGCAAAAAGTGCATTTCTGACCTTATTTTAGCAATGTCAGGGACGCTTAAGATATAAGAATCTGGTAGTACAGCTGTGTAAAACAAATTATTGCCTCTGAATTTGTTATGCAGCTGACACAGTGCATTTGTGACCTTATTTTAGCATTGTTTGTGCATGTAAAAAGCAATAGAAACCTAATGTCAGGGGCGCTTAAGATTTAAGAATCTGGTAGTACAGCTGTGTAAACTGGGAGTGGGAGAAGTTTGAGAGGAAAGAGAACATGATGGCCTTCTTGCTTTATTTTTCACATACCTTATCTGGAGAGGGATGCTGTTTGCTTTCTCTGTCTTTGCTGTTACAAGTTCCGTATTGCAATTATGCTAATCTACTTATTGTACAATTCCTGGGTTAACTGCTGGCAAGAGAAGTTCACCTTAAGCTTACTCTTGTGCTGTGTATCTAGAGCTGACTTAATGAAGGAATGGCGAAAAGTGCATTTCTGACCTTATTTTAGCAATGTCAGGGACGCTTAAGATATAAGAATCTGGTAGTACAGCTGTGTAAAACAAATTATTGCCTCTGAATTTGTTATGCAGCTGACACTGGTAACAGTCAAGGTCAGTCCAGAATAGTAGTTAAACTGTTGCCTTGGTGGGGTGTTGTGATCCTTGTTGCAACTAGAACAAAAGTCAAGTGTTCCTTGGAGCTGAGGAGGCTGCTAGACTGAAATCTGAAAGGAAGCCTCTTGTACAGCAGCCCTCAGGTTTACCCTGCCAATCTGCTGGAACATAGCCAACAAGGCACCAAACAGGAGCATTGTATGAAGGGAAAAGGATAGTTCTAATGCAATGCTTTCTAATCAAACACAGCCTGTATTGCAAAAATATTAATGCACTTTTGTTTTAAGTGGCAGCCAACAGCTTTAAAAAAATAATTTAAAAAAAAAAGTAATCTGTTAGTGCAAGCCAGCTTTTTTATGTTGGTGCAAATTCAGATGAAGCTATCATTAAAGCCTCTCAGTTACTTGTTCCCAAGACTAGTTTCCCCATCCTGTAGACACAGGCCAGCCCAAAAGATTTCTCTCTGATTCTTTCATGTCTACATACACTTGTTCTTGGTTTTCTGTTACCTGAAAGTTAGTCATCTAGGAGGGGTAACTTATTGTTTCTTGCCTTGTGCAGTGGAGAAGGCTGTACCAGAAGGCAGCCACAGGAGATCAATAAGCAAATAATAGCTGACAAGCATGCAATTAGTCACTGATATCACTGCCACAGCCCTGCACTGCCCTACTTTTGCTTAAGTATTGATGCCTTCTTTCCACAAAGCTTTATACAAGGACCATGCATTTTGAGCCTTCAAGTAGGCAACCTCTAGTACACAACTTTCCATGAGAGGGAGACTTTCAGGAAATTTAAAGATCAGTACTCACAAGATCTGAAGGTTTTCTGGAAATCTAGGCTGTGATTCTCAAGGAGGATTGGCACAGGGCAACTGCAACCTGAACACAAGGGCTTTTGTGGGAGTTTCCTGCAATGCTTTTGATCTATAATGTGTATCTTTGCACTATGCTGTTGTCTTACTGTCTGCTTAGCAACAGTATAAATCATTCATCTTAACCATGTGAAATTCATGAGTATTTTATCCTTGTCCTGACCTCAATTCTTCCTTCAAACCTTACTGTATGAGCTTCAGTAGGAAAGCTTAAAGGATGTAGTCAGGACCTAAACAGCTGTAGATTAATTAGTGTAAGCCCTTAAAGATGTGCAAATAAAAGGTCATTCCTTCTGTGCAGTTACCAGACTGATAATCAGTGTAAATTA